TTAATAAAGAAGGCGCGCGCGGGAAAAGCGTCTCGCAGGCGCCGCACGTATGAAAGTAACGATTCGCCCGTTTGCAAATAGATCGCAGAGAAAACGGCACGTGCGCTTCGTTTGCGTCGAAATACCGCAGCCGGTCGTTTGCTCGCACAAAAATATACACACATCGATACACATGTTTCTCTCTTCCCACGTGCGCTCGTCAGCCACCTGCGGTCAAATTCGCGAGTTTGCTAACGAACCGTTCGTTCGTGAGAGAAATACCGTGGAAACAATTCGGGAAAACCGGTCGAGCAATGTGCGTCAATATTTGGGGGGAGTGCCCCCCAATATCGCAGTTAGTCTCGATTGTTATGATTTTTTCAATTTATTCGAAATGAGATAAACTGGAGATTCGAGTGAGTCACACGAGAGTGAAGAAAAGTAATTCCTCTGAAAGATATCATACTGGGTTTCTTCGGTAGAAATGTGTCGTGATTCTCTTTTAAATTTACAACCATTTTTTTACACTTACATTCAATATTACAAATGAAGGTACTACTGCGTTCAAGTATTTACTACAACAAGCTGTTTAAATATACTTAAATCGATGAAAATATTACTTGATTTAAGAGATAATTACGTTAATTCTTAATTCTTTTATCTATATAATATCGTGGAAGACGCGCGATTATATTATGTGACTGATTAAAACTTTCCTCGTTCTGAATGAGAATCGATTCTTCGCTCCCAGAGAGTAGCTTTACACTTTATTGAATTTATGAAAGGCCTCAAGAATCATTGACGAAATGCGCCGGGGATTCACAGGGGAATATTTTTAACGAGCGTATTATAGCGGACCCCTAACCTTTTCCACGGTGGATCATTATGCAGCGACCTCGACGTTACGTTCACGTGCCGTTCAACTTATTAGACACGGGGAAAGCGGAGAAGAAATTCCGCGAGTCGTAGGAGGAAAGTCGATTTTTCCCCGTTGCAGCCACGCGTTCTCCTAACCTTTTGCATTTTTATCAAGACGCCCACTCTTGTGTGTACGATTTCGTAATAGCGACGTCAGAATCACGTTTCTTACCAGCGAAAAGTCTTTCTATATCGCTATATATAATGATATATATATACAACATTTTGTTTTAAACTTATTCCCTATACTTCATTCCTTTGGTGCCTGAGCAGCAATTGTTAAAACAGCTTATACGAATTTTATGTGTCACAAAATCGACAATTATCGGTAAACACGCACGATAAATAGCGGAACGTAACAACGATGATCTGTGTTTCCCACGTCATCGTGCGACGAGCACAGCGAAATGCCGATCTTACACATTTTTACCCGGAGAATTAATCGTCAGGATTTTTCACTCTCGTTCGTCGAGAGAACTGATCATCGCACGAGATCGATGCGCGATAACGTTTACGGAACGATATATCCGGGAAAGCAACATCCGTCCGGCGGCTGTAGTGTTCCGCTATAAATATTATACAGCCGTTATAAATCGCCCGACACTTTCTAGACATTTGAAAATGTCAAACCATGTTGCAAAGGTTTCATCGATGCAAGAATCGACGCTTCTTTCTCGAGGATATCTCGCGTTTCATCCGATCTCAGAACTTATTAGAATATTATTATTATTTCATTGTTTTATAATTCTCACTATGTTTTGAGATTCGATGTCAATTGATCTCGCGGGCTATCGGGTGGAGCAGCATTTAAATCAGGACAAAGATTTTTTTCGATCGGTTAATTAAATTACCGATCGAATTGTTGAACGCAGCCCTGGCGAGAGAGAATACCTTCCCCCAGGAGATCATCATCCATCCCAAGACTTCCTTTGAGGAAGGCCGCGGCTGTGACGTGAGAACTGACGCTTCGGCAGGAAATCGATAATTCAATATCTGTTCCGCAAACTTCCAAGACTACCGAGCCGGAACACATCGCTCGCCATTGACAGAAATAAAAATAACGATCCTCGATTCCAATTGCATTGCCGCGAATGAAGCCACGATCTTCCGCGAACCGCCGTGCCTTTCAACGCGCGGGAATTCTCAAATCGCATTTTGATCTCGAGCGAATCTTAAAATCTCTTCTGATTCATCGCAGTAAAAAATATTTTGTGCTAAAATCGGCTCTTGTTAAAATATTTGCGTCAGCATTAGTTAATTTATCATGTTATATTTATTTTATTTCAGTATTTTGCAGTGTGTTAAAATAATGTCAAATGTTAAAATTTCACATGTAAAATTTGTGTAGAGAATGGCAGAGCATACATGACACCGTGTGTACTTAAGCATAGTAACATCGAACATTTTCAATCGGAAGCATTATTTGTGCATTATGACTGTTAATAACTTGATGTTCTAGAGCAGCAAATATTCAGAAATAACACCCCTGATTTTCAGCGTTACTATACACGAAAACAATGCTGGACTGAAATATCCTTAGCATATTATTTATCCAAGTTAACGACAGCGGGAGCCACGCGTTGAGAACCACTACGATGCACGAACGGGCGCATACTGCGCCGCGTCAGCAGATGAGGAATTCGTTACCCCACCTAGGCGCCTGCGCCGCGCACCGCGGTTATAAAAGGACCCGCCCGACGGCGTCGAACTTCAGTCCGTTCAGCGGTATCGCCGAGTGTTTTTCTGTGTTAACTATCTCTTCGATTTCCGTTGCTTGCGACCGTTGTTATAGGACGCGTCGAGTTGCTTCGCAAAGCATCTCTTACGTCGCCCGGTGTCGCAGCTGTGTGTCGCTAGCGTGCGTTTTCGAGGATTCGATCGAGAGAAGAAACGTAAGTCGAACATTTTTACTGTTCTCGAAAGAGATTCCACCGACGCTCTCGGCCGGCCCCTTCCTTTGAACGGAAACGTTATTGTTCGAAACGAGCGGNACCTATCCCCCCCCCCCCCCCGTTGGTCTGATTTTCTACCGTAACTTTGCTCCTCGAGATGAGATTCTTTTAATCATCCCAGATTTATCGTTTTATTGCTCGAGGAAGATTGAAGAACACCGTTGGCTGGACTGACTGACGGCCGGCCTTCGTAAAGAACGGTGATCTACTTTCTCGAAGAGATTGCTCAATCCCGAGGATGTCAAAACAAACACACGGTATCGCAACGGGTTATTTTTCAGGACCGTTCGATTCTCACTTTATTCGTGCTTTTTCGGGCATCTTTCATGACATCGGCGCGTCTCATTCTTTGCGAAGCTGCGTAATTCTATTCTTGTAGCAGCGAAGAGAGACGCTTTCACCGCCATTTCGCTCCGAGAAAGCCAGCGATCTCGTGTGAGAAAGAAAAGTCATGTTGCAATACGCAAATTACGCGCCAGCGATTGTCGACAGAAAAGGGTGACTACGGTGAATTCGATGGACGCCCACATCCGGGTTATCTATTACAAAGCAAATTGCGGTAAAATCAGTCGAAAGCGCTCTTCGCTGTTTCGTTTGCGCGATCTCGCGAAATCGAACAAGAGTGAGCGAAAAATGAAACGCATTTTCATCGCGAGTCGTCGTCGCGATCTTCAGCTAGAAAGCTTCCAACATGACGTTTCGAGCGCAGCATCACAATCGCCGATTACTGCCGGGCAATAATTTCTGCTGACGCTGCGAAATGAGATATTGTTGATTTATTAGCGCGACACGAAACACACACGGTAAAAGATTTTCTATTAAAAAATTGATCCATTGAATCGGTCCATTGAAATTTAACTCGAACATGTGACAAAGTACACAAATATATATTAAGCTGTAACATATTCACTTTGTTTCTCTTCTTAACCCTTATCGGACTAGCTAGCTTTTTATGCGTGATTCTCACTAGGTTGTAGCTGGTTTCGGTGAATATACGAAAACGTCACCTCCTACGTGACGTACGACCGCAGCGACGAAGTATTGTTGTCACGTGACTTACGACCGATAAGGGTTAAGGAATGTTTCCCGTTATTATTTACCTTTTTTGTTTTTATCAATTTTGTACACATGGAAAATGAATAAAACAGAGGACTTTATTTTCTCGAATACGTTGAAAATTCACTTTGTCGTTAGAAGAAGTTTTTTACCGTATATATACACAACGTAAGAGAGGACATGAAATTACCACCTGACAGAACGGTGTTAAATAATCGGCCAATATCGCGAAGGAGCCTTTTTTCTCCGTTTAATTGTCGCACTGGTGGTCGCAGACGCGGTTCTTTCGCTTCGCTCCGCTCTTCTTCGTACGACGACGAACGAGCACGAGCCGCGAAGGGAATCAATACTCGCGTGTGAGTCGAGAGCGGGTTCGGCGCCCAACTGGCGGCCATCGACCGGAAGATTGCGCCGCATTCTACACGTTTCGCCGGGAAAATTCGGCCGTAAACATTTTTGATCGTACACATACAACGCAATCATATGGGTAATGAAATGTTTGCGATTAAAAGCAGCTCTTAAATTTGATCCTCGCAGCATAGAAATCGTATACATTCGACCAGTAGACTGACGAGATACCAATTCAGTACTAAAGTACGATACCAATGCTTTAAATAGGAGGATAGATATTCGTAACGTGGAGCTTGAATAGCTCAGCGGTAAGATGGGGGTGGGATGTTTTTCACCTCATATGACATTAACCTTCTAACGGCAAGGTGTGGTATCTAAGAAGATAGGATCGACCCCATGCTCTGTTTTCTTCATTTTCCATGTGTACAAAATAATAGAAGAAATAATATGAAACATTCCTCGAGAGAAAAAAGAAACAGCGCGCATACGCTGTCAAATAAACGATCCCACCTTACCATTAGAAGTACAAAGAATCGGTCGCCCACTGTTCACTAAGAATCGATACAGCAGTTATTTCCTATATGTGAAAGACAACTCTGTGACTGAATTTTCTGTTGCTTGAGGACCGATCCGGTTGTAGGAAGATTCCCGCGAGAAGTTTCTACCGAATCAATTGTTTCCACCGAGTTTTAATGTAGCTGAATGTTCTCAGTCACGGCAACAGGGACGTCATTTCTCTTCACCGAGTTTTCATCTAGTCTTTATTGTAGGAACTGTCTTCCATGTACTTGAGGAGTCGCTCGCATAATTCCGGCGGTGTTGAACAAATTCCCAGAATAAACAATCAGTTTGTATTGTTTTAAACACTCGAATGAAGGAAACTTGAGGAGGCTCGCGAGCACATATGAAAGAGAGAGAAACTTAACTTTAAAGTAGGTGTACCGCTTTCAAAACAAACGACGCAGTTATCGACAAGGAGTGCAATGGGGTCGCGCGCGTCGACAAGAAACGTCGGAGGAACCCGTTACCGCGGCCACCGGCGGAATTTTAATTTCTCAATCCTGTTAACGACATCCTCTCTTGTCCCACGCGTGCGGAATGCATCTCATAATTGTACCTGCGATGCAATTATTTTCATCGATTTTACATCTTGCATGTTTATTTGTTTTCATCCGCTATTTTGTGCACAACCTTTCCTCCCCTCCTATTCGCGCCGAGACGTTCCAGCCGACCTGATTCCATGTGTGTGGGTGTCATCCAGAATAGCCCGGGGGTCGATCGATATCCCCGCGCGCACCGTGCATACTCTCGTGGGTTGTTGGCCTCATTTTCACCCTGCGAGAAAAAAACGCCCGTTCACAACGGAAACTAGACCGACAATCGGCTTTCGATGGATACGGAAAGAAAAAAAAACGCTCATTTTTACCCAATCGCTCGTGACATATCGCGTATTCTCTCTCGGTGTAATAATACCCGACGTTTAGTTTCTCGGTTGAAAAACAAAATGAATCTGCTGCTGCTAAAAGAGAGAGAGAACCAGCTCCTTGTTGAGCTTCGTTGATTCAATAAAAAAAAATAAAATAAGCGAAGACGCGCACTCACCTTGACTTTTAAGCTTTCTCTCTCTCTCTCTCAGTTTCTTCTGCAACTTTAGTTGGTGCACTGAGGAAAAAAAGTGCTACCGTAACATCGGACTTGATTCAAGTAAAAGAGTTACTGCAATACTCCTTGGCAAGTATTTACTAGAATTAAAAATATAATTGACTCTACATGATGTTTATTCCGTGTAAGTAAATGTTGCGTAAAATAATAATTACAAGTATTAAATCTATAATACATTGAGAATTTATTTGTAGAAAATATTTATTCTGTTTAGAAAAAAAAATGATATCATTAACAAATAATAATAACTTGATCTTTTTCTACCGGTAACCGAGCCTTAATAGCTCAGGCTGTTTTGCTGCCACATTCTCTTTACACACGCTCTCTTCTATTCCCAACTGTCTACTAAACGGAACGAAAATACTACGCCTGTGCGAGCGCGGCCGGTTGCCAACAGTTCGCGGACTGGTTTCGCGTCTCTCGAGCTAATCTTAGGATTTAATTGTTCGCGCGCGCGCGTTAGAGAACGGCAGGAGACGACCTGCTCGCCTTCAACGAAGGAATCGTGTCGCACGGAGCCGAAGGTGAGAGCTTCGTTTATTCGAGAGAAAGGAGAGAGAGAGACGAAAATATACGGCGAGTAATTAAATCAAACGCTCTTTTATGCAATACTTGCGTTTAAGTACCACTTCGTGTCACTTAATGACGCGGGACGGATCAATCGACAAGAGCACGTGATTACATTATTCGATATTTTCCCCAAAAGAATGCGTCGGTCTATAGTCTTAATTAGAGCGCGATCGTTAATGTCGCGGCATATATATCATTATGAGACGAGCAATTAGTCCGCGGTCCTTGAAAGTTAAACTCCTCGCGAATGGACGTTAGTCGACGACCGGCTAATTTGCCGGTAATTACTCGCGCGTTAAGGATATCTCGCGATTTCATGAGTAGCAGCGAATGGACGAAAGTGCGGATGAAACTGGATCGTCTATTTGCCGTCGCGTATGCAAGTGCGAGGACTCGCACAGGCTAGAAAGTTGCCTAAATTTAGCGAATTCCCGTTATTCATACGTACAAAGTAGTCACCTATATTCCTCATCTTTCCGCTGAGAGCAAAAATAGTTAATATTACTAGAATATTTTCAGGAGTCAACACTTCTTGTTCCAACGGAAATGTAATATAAAAATACTAGAAAAATATTTACTAATAATAAATTTACTTGAATTCTTTTATTTAAATGAACAATTGCAAAACTACAAATTTAAGAAAATATATTTTCTCACTTGAAAAAAATGTATTTCCTAGGATAAAAACATATAAATAAATATATATTAAATAATATTATTTTATATATCATTATTATTAGTACTCACCGAATATAAATCATTTTCGTTCTATATACGGAGAAAATATTATTACAGTAAAAAAGTTTGCAACGCTGGATTATATCGGAACTATTATCGAAATTATTATGTGTTATAATCTTTAATGATGTCTACGTCTCACTAAAGATTACAACACACATAATTTCGGTATGGTCCAGCATATCCAGAAAATTTTGTGATATAATTTTTACTACAGTATTTTCTCAGTCCAGCGATATGCAAGATTATCGTCAACGACAGTAGAGAAGCACGAGTCCTCCTGACTATAATTCATTCACTATGCGACATTATAGTCATTTTTTCCTCCCCCGAGAGTGACGTCGCCGCGGTGCCATCGTCAGCCGACACAAGCTGATCTCTCTTCCGAGGGGCGTTATAAATAATCTCGGCGTCATGCCCATCTACGTCGCGGTTACGGCGTCATCGTAACCCCCCTTCGCTCGCGGAAAATCCGCTCCGTAATTCACGCGTCGGCTCGATTTGACGAACGGAAGCCGGCGGGCGAATTGAAATCAACTAACGAGCGAGCTTTTATCTTCGCCCGCAACGGGATTCTCCGAAGGAACTGTGTCGTCTATGCGGCGCAAAGTGTGTTCGGGGATAAACCGCTTACGGGATTGTCCTCTTGAAATAGTTCGCGAGAGGAAAGCTTGGAACATATGTGTGAGCACGCACACAGCGAATGCGACGTTCAAATAATCCGGTTATTTATAGCGACCGGCCTATAGTTTGCGGTCTATAGTTCTATTTTTGCGACAGCTCACTAACGGCCGCGAGGATCTCTCGTTTTATCCTCGACGCGGTATCCTTCCATCCGCTTTTTTTTTTTTTCACGCGATCGTCTCGCTGAAATTCGAGAAACTGACTTTTCTCGCAACCATCGTAATTCCGGAATAAATTCCACGTAAAGCGTCCATCTCGTTTGCGAGATGAACGCTTATGTAAGGATCGCATTGTACCTGCTTCTCAAGAAGAGTCGGTGCGCATACAGAAAGAGAAATAGAAGGAGAATTCTCTCTCGCGAGATGTTGGCGCCGCGTTTCTCGAGAAATTACGTTACCTTCGCAATTGATCCACTGAGTCATCGTCGTCAGCTTGGCGCTGCGACCGAGTTGCATCGTGTAGCGTTACATTGTCGCGCGTACAGCCAAAAATGACACTCCACTGATAAATGTTAAGTAAATTACGAACGAACCGAAGCGCGCGTTTACAATGAATCTATGATTATTGTCTCGCATTGATTGAAATGCAATTTTTTTCGAAGGAGATACGCACAGAAATTATTTTTTTCCGCAGGACACGTTTGTGCAAAACGGCAATAACTGCACGTAAGAGCAAGCTAAGAAGTTAAGCTCGAAAAAGAGAGATCCTTAGGGGGGAAAAACTCCTCTCCTCCAGAGAAATTAACTAGTAAAAGTAAGCAATGCTTAGAGGACGTTCGTTGTAGTATATATTAGATAAGCTTTAAAGACTCGCTCACGAAATATTTCGTTCTTCTGGGAAAAAACGTGGAAAGCAAAATACGCATTTACACTGTTGTAACACGCCGTGCGAGCGTGCGCCGCGATAAATTTTTATCAGAGCCGCGTGATCCTTTTCTCCGTTATCGCCGTTTCAACGTCGGTCGGTTTAATCCGTCGGGACTTACTATTATTAGCCGACGAACTTTGCATTCTCGCGGCCGATATATCGATTACTACATCCCGAGGAATGCCGGGAATTCGCTTGGCCGTGTGCCCACGATGGTTTTATCAGTGATTACGCACGCTAACACGATTCTACATAGCGCGGAGGATTAATAAATGCATCGATCGACGCAGCGTCGACAGTTGTGCTCGATACGAGCGATTCCCGCCGGCTGAATCATTCTGGAAAATGACGAATTTTCCGTTGCCTGAGAACATTCGTGGCTACGAAAGATTCCAGAGTATCACATTTCTCATCGCTCAATTTTCATCTGCTCCTTATTCAGTTTTTTTTTTGTTTTCATTCCGATGTTATCCGCTGCATAATCGGCGAACTTGATAATTTTCTTCAAAAGTCGATCGTCATGGGAACGCCGCGACTCTTATCATTATGTTTGCCTCCCCGTCGCGCGTTTGATCGATACGCGCACACAGAAATAATTCATGAAGCTAACCGGTGCATTTATTTTGAATATACATCGCGGAATGCCGGAGGAATTCCTTATCGCTCCAAGTTGTCTCCGCCGTTCTGAAAATCCTTGACATTTTTCATTTCGCGAGATATGCAGTTTCGTAATGACTTTCCGGACGACTCGTTGTCGCGCGATTCGTGCATTTGCAACAACTTGATGTATCACCGTGTGGAATTAATCGCGAAACAGAGTAGACTCGAGCGCGGGATATATTATCCTTTCACGTCTGATCGCACTTTCTTCTCGCCTGGGTTTCAGAAAATTGGCAAGAACGACGCTCGCGGTTGCGTAACATGTGACGGAAATCGTAAGGCTTTATCGATATCGCAAAACACGCTCGTCGATATGCTTTCTCGTAGAAAGCAAAAGCGCGGGTTTCATGCCAAGGTGAGATCACGGTGAAATCCGCTCTGTCCTTCGCGCGCGCGATACATAAATCATTGAATCCCGTAATGTTAGCGCGTTACATAGCGGTAATTTCTATTAACGATACACATCCGGAAATCTCGAGAAAACCATGACTGATCGCTCGACACTTGAAATTGCCGATGTTCTTGAGAAAATGATCATCGAAATTTCTCGTGTTTTTCCTCGTCTCGTTAATCTCATCGAATCTCGCTACTCGCTTAGCGAAGTACGATGATAATAACGTTACGTCCACTCGAACCGGTGACGCGATTGCGATTTTAAGAAAAAAAAAAAAAAAACTGGTGCTCAAAGGAACCCTTCTTCTTTGTCGTGTTCTCTCTTTTCGAGTCATTGATTTAGAAGCGGAACCTTGAGGGGAAACTACGACGTTGAATGTTAACCGCAGGCCTTGGTCTTTGAGATATGAAGCACATTCTGATGAAATCTCCCGAGGTGATTTCCTGATCTCTTTTTCTCGCTCTCGCCTTAACTATATGCATGACGATAGGTTCGACGTGATCATTATCGGCGTTATCGGCCGGGGGATTTCCCGCAGCGCTCTTGTTCGTCAGCAGCATTCCTCGTATGCGTGCGCAAAAAGTTGTTTTATTTGTCTATCATTATAATATCGGGACAACCTGTCGGTGTGAGTTTACACGCTCGTTAAAAGAGGCGGAAAAATGGAAAAATTGCTCGTTATCAAGTTTTGTTTCTGTGTTGCAGGAGTCACCAGTCAGTCGAATCGGCAACCCAACATGTCGGTCACCTCTGTGCAACCCAACACGGACAGCCTGTCTCGCCACGGGTGAGTAAAGAGATCCTGTGCATTCGATCCTTTCGCGACGAAAACGAAGAAAGAATAATAATACGCGAACAGTCGAATCTCAAGGTCCGTAAAATTCGTTTTCTTAGGAATCAAATTTTAACAGCGTATCGATCGAAACCCACATACGTAAAGTTAGATATAAAAAAAAATTACAAGATCATTTAATTTCCCACAGCACAGATATTTCAGTCTCTTCGTGAGCGACTGTCTTAAATGGTCCGTCGCGGAAAACTCGTGTCGCCCGAGCCACTAGATCGTCGTTTCACGGCGATTTTTCTGTCCGACACGTGGCTGCGATTCGTTACGCGTTGCGCAATCGTATCGGCGCTCTTAATAACGTGGGTAATTAGCGTTAAAGGAGAACGACAAAGACGGGTTTCGCAGTTTGATCGAGTCCACGATTTCCGTCCAAGTGGCATAACTCAACTTCCTACATGGCCGACGCATCGCCGGAAACGCCAATTAAGGGACGTTAAGAGGCGTCTCGTTACGTCAGTCTTGAGGATCTCGCGGAAAAGTACGATCGATTTGGATGGCGCGATGAGACGTTTCTACACTGAGAAAACGGTCGGATTGATATCATCATGTCATTTAAGAACAATTTTTATAAATTGAGAGAAAAAATATTATTTTCGAACGCGACGACGAGTTTTTCTCACCCGCGTAAAGGACATTTTTCTTTGTCCTCTCGAGGAGACCTACCGCGTTTACGTAACGGAAAAGAAAAGGAGAACGACCGTGCCGATCGCACCTTACGATTACGGTCATTCAAGAAAGCCAGTCGCGGCTTTTGTGTATCTACATGGCTGTGTCGAATTCGTGAAATACACACACAGGACGAACGGCTCATTACGCGTGTGTTCACGTCGCCGTCACGTGGAGGAGACGTTTTTCTTCCCGATTACCATATGCGCACACCCATTCGAGTTAATCCGTCGAACCAACACACTGGCGCCTCTTTCTTCGCCAGGTTCAAGGCGGTTTGCGTACTAGCTTCGCTAGAACTTGACGAATTGTCCCGTGAATGTATCGAAAAAACTCCTTCGTAGCGTTTCTACGCCGCTGGAGCTGCGATCGTTTCGAGGACTTCTCCAATTGCACGGACAAAAATTACTCCGTTAGTAACTGAATTGGTGTTGTACGAACGGAAAAATTCCTTTACACGGGAAAAAAGTTAGCATTAATTCAAGATTTGTATTCTTGCTTATATTATAATATATAAGAATTGTGAATTGATATTAATTTTTTGTAGGAAGTTTCTGCTCTATAGAGTTTTTAATGCAGCTGAATATTTAACACGAATGGTCTCAGTCGTGATAACAAAGATATCACTTCTCGAGTTTTCATCTATTCAGTTGCGAAAGCTGAGATTTTTCCCGTGCGAATGTAATTCTTTGTTGAATCCCAGCGAGATCATAGAACCGTTGCGTCGGATAGTTCAGTTTTTCCTCGTTGCCTACTCAGAATTCAGAGGATAAGGATTTACCGGAAAGAAAGAAAGGAAGAAAAACCGTGCGATCGCGAAATAACGATGAAACAAAATTCCGAGGAAAGATATTCTCTCCTAAAATGAATTTTAGGGGGATCGCTCACACAGATCGCTTGATTTGCAGAAGCAACATCTCCTTATGCCATAGCCTGTGCGGGAGCGTGGACGACGGCCTGCAAGGCTCGCATCCCCAGTATCAGGACACGATTGTCACGATAGAAGAACTGCGGGCCCAGCTGAACTCCTGCTTTACGTAAGTTTCCCGAGATGACGAATTTAATAATGAAAATATCGAGGAAGAATTCGCTCCCTCAGAAGCGTCGTCCCTCCATCGAACGGTGGATTCGAATTGATTGGGAGTTACGAGCGTAATCGAATGTCGCAAGGGGATATAAATCGTGTCTCGCAGCTGCCACGCGGAATCCTACGGAGCGTGGGAATTAATTGCAAATTACACAACGAGAGACGTAGTCTCCGCTCAATGGATCCAGAGTACAAACGACGATGACGCATCATCGAGAGAGATTTTTTCCTCCGAAATAAAAAATTTATTTACCGGAGTAAGGATTGTACTCTTTGAGTACAATTAAAAGCGGTCATTCATCTACAAACATGAATTTTAAATTTCTACACCCTGTAGTAACGCGCAGTTTGAATCGCTTCTTCACTCGACGCGTTATCGATACTGAAATGAGGCTAGTGGGTGTATATCCAGTGTTGATCCGGTGGTAAATCGGATACCCCACATTCGACCGACGGAGCGAGCCGCCCGTCGTATCGCGAATCAATCGGGGGAAACACATGAAAAAGTCAGCCGTTTAGATAAAATGTCGAAACCACCTTGTTGTTTTCCGAGAAAACACTTGTCAATTACTACAATTATGTGATTATCTCTGAAAAAAAATCTCGTCGTGTGTACGTCGCAAAATTAACCCGATCTTTTATCATGATTTTGTCAATATTAATTTGACGACTTATTGTCCGAGTGTGTTGAATCGATCATTTTGGTTCTCTCGCTCCGCGAAAAAATGTTTTTTTTTTTTCAGGCGAGTTGTCGCATAACGTGCGCAATCATCTACTATCCTGTTTTTCTCTTCTTTTAGATGCGGGGTGTCGTGGAGCGAGGAGCACGTCTCCTTGGACTGCAGCGAGTGCGGCGGCTACTCCCTACAACGGCCGTGCCCGCTCTGCGACGGTCGCTGCCATACCGCGTGGAAGCGTGACCTCACCATGGTAAATGTGAATAACGCGTTGCTGGCCGCTGACCTCAGCTGGAAAAATCGAACGTCTCTCTCCGTGTTACAGTCGCACGCGAGTGGCAAGGCGAGATGGATCGGCGAGTGCGGCCTGAGCTGCGGACCCTCGCTCGAGGAATCGCTGGTGCCCGCGTTGGAGAAGTTGCGGGCCACCTCGTGAATGACGTCGGCCGGCCGCCGAGCCACCGACAATGCACAAGACTTAATCCATCACTCCATAGCGTCACCCACCACCACCACCATCGCGTGTGAGAGGAACCACCGAGAGAAAGTGTGAATGCGTGATATGGATTATGTTCCTGACGAGAGAGAGAAAGGAAGGCATCTCTTTCTCTCCGAGTCGTCGTCATCCCGGCGGAAACGCAATGCTACACGGGACTTTCATCCGGTTCTTCTTCTTTCGCGTAAAATCCCCTTTCTTTATCGCATTTGTTATGGTTTCAAATGGCTGAGATAGTTTCACGAACCTTCTCGCGCGGAGACACGTCTGACTCTCTTTTCAGAATCTTTTAGAATTGTAGATTCTAAACCGAACAGTTTTCGGCGGTATAGACGTGTGTAGCATTGATGAGAAGTCGGTTAGACGTGTACGACACACTCGAATAATTCCATCTGCGTCTCGCATTTATCCGGCTTGCTGTATATATAAATAACGTTCGAGAGAGAGAACGGTTAGCGCAATTTTTATCATTCTTCATCGGGTGTTTTTTCATTTCTAGATTCCCCAGCGTGTAGTTCTCGCAGTGTTCTATTCCCATACAGTACATTTTACCGTAAATGACGTAAGGACATCCTCTGGGCGTTCTTTGTGGATGCTGTGCTGTATGGGCTATATGTCACGGTTACACGATAATCCACTTTGACGGTTTCTTCTCTTTTACACAGACGGAAATCGTTCTCTGCATTTTTCCCGTCGGACTTTCAGAGATCTTCGTTCCTATACACGTAATATCCCGAGGAGCCCGGACTTTACTTTTTTACGTAACACAAAGAACCTCGGCCTCTCTGTCGCGAAAGGAGCGCGCGTTTGCATTATGCGAATTTTAGGATAATTATTACTAGATTGAGAAATTCATCGACTCTGATCTTAACGGCGCAAAAGCCGCACGAGAGCGACGTATCCGCGATATGCTGAATTGGAATTTCGCTTGATCGACGAGAGGCGATTCCAAGCTTTGCGGATGTATAATAAACGATGAATTTTAGTCCAAATTGTCTCTCCCCTAGTGAGAATTCGATGTTTAATCAATGTAACCGCGGTTTAACTGTCATAGCCCTAAGGATCGGCGAATTTCGAGAGATATCCACTCTCTGATTGGTTGTGTTTGTAGCGCCGTTCTTGCGTGTCCTTTGGAGCGATCGTCAAGAGGGGAAGAGTCACTCACTCATATCCGTCTTGTGCCTATCAATTTCCGCGAGTTTCCTTGGGCCTATGAAAGTTCGAAACGAGATCCGA